GAGGGAGGGAGGGAGGGAGAGTAGATAGATCCCATCTCTCTTGTTGGACGTGAGATGGAACAATGGTGTGAAAGGATGTCAGAACTTTTCCTGGCGTAGAGGAATGTTTGGATTAGGACAGTCTGAAGAGGCGAGAAGACTGGCCTGAATGTGCCTGGCCCTGGTGAAACAGTGATAGACGAATCATTTGTTCATAAGGTTTTCTGGGACACTCACAGTGACGCTGTGGACGTGATATTTGAGCAAGACATCAGTGCTGCAAAAATGCTGAAAGGAAAGATGGACATCCATGTGGTCCAGAATTCTCTAGGTTGCTGAAAAAAAGCATGTACCTTGTTCACTGTTTGGATGATGAAGCCAGAGAGCGGGAGAGTGAAACTACAGGAACTCATGCCATAGCAAAGAGACGGGTGTCGGGTATTCTTAATGCTGACAGCAAGAGCAGGCGTTTTGGCTGCTCAGATGTCACGTGGCAGGAATTTCCTTGGATTCCTAGGGAATTTCAGCTCACGGACTCCCCTCCGACTCTTCTGCTCCTCCTCTTTGACTCAGCTGCAGAGCTGGGAGGCGAAGCTCATCGATCTCTTTCACTCTCACGCCCCCATAGCAGACCTGACAGGCATGAGGCTGCGCTTTGACGGTGCGAGGGTCCCTCTTGCCTTGCGGCATGCTGACGTTCCAGTCAAGCAGGGGAGGAAACGGTCGTGGAGCTCCCGTACAACAACAAGCTGGACTCTTCTCCCCGGCCAGGGAGATTGGTAAGGTGGCCATCATATCAGATTCTCCGCTGCTCACTGTCACTGACAGCTCGGAAGCACTCATGGAGGGGTATACTGCCTCCTTGCTGACACAGCCGGATGGTTTGCAAGCGCAAGGGGCCGAGAAGGCGGTTGGCCGCTCACGACGACGTTGAGCTGTCACTTCGTTAAGGTGAGCTTTAATCACAAGCCCCTTCCCTCACGATCCTCAGTCGAGCAAGGAGAAAGACATCGCTGCTCGGGCTCGAGTCGTTCAGTCCTCTCCACGTCAGGTCAGCCTCTCCTCCCTCCTCCCTCCTTAGGCCTGACAAGTGACATGGATGGCAGGACATCTGCGAGGTGCGCATAGTGGACAAAGAGGGTCTGGATCTAGCTTACGTCACAGCCGTCTTTGCTGTCGCAGCTCGGAAGGGATGATTGGACAGATCAAGTTCTTCATGGAGATGACGCACTTCATGCAAGAGCTACACCGGAAGCTCGCGCTGGTGCTTGAAATAATTCATGGAGAGCCCCATGAGCGCGAATCTGCCAAGAGCGGTCAAGACAGACAAGGCCGACAAGCAAGCACTGACATGAGGCTTGAAGCAATCTGTTTCAGGTCGACCTCAGATTTCTTGACGTTGGCAACAGAAGAGAGACAAGCATACAGCGCTAGCCAGGAACAAATCTTATACTGGAAGTTGAGGCCCACGTGAGAACAGAACAGAGAGTGTTCAAAGCTGTTGACCTTAAGCAGAAGTCCAAGTAAACCAAAGAGAAGAGACAGAAGAGCCATGTAGTCTGGAGGAAGTTCCTCTTGAGGGATGGGAGGAGGTGGAGTATAAGGCCGGACAAGATCCGGTCTCTTGGCACCCTGCATATTGCTTCCAGTGCTCCAACCCTGCAGTCAAAAGAACTTGAGAAGAGAAAACTATATCGCTGATGGTGATGGTGATGGTGATGGTGGTGGTGGTGGTGATGATGTTGTAGTGATGGTGTTTTTGTTGACGATGATGAGGTGCAAGTTGAAGCAGAAGAAACGAAGGCAGCTGGAGACAAGCTCATGCAGACAAAATGACTAGGAAGGGTAGCGATTGGAGACCTCAAAAGGAACGAATGAAAGAAATCATGTGGATGTTGAAATATCGGATACAACACAAACAAAATTTGATGCAAACACACTATGCTAATCCCTTCCTCGCTTCCACACATCATCTTTTCTTCCCTCAAGGATTCTCTCTTGTTAAATTGTGCACCTGAATCTACTCCTCCTCGTCTTCCTCTTGATCCAATGCTCCATATTCTTCTGGTACTCTTCCACCCAACTATCAATTGCCTCATCCTGCTCATCCTGCTGCTGCTGCTGCTGCTGCTGCTCCTGCTCCTGCTCCTGCTCCTGCTGCTCCTGCTGCTCCTGCTGCTGCTCCTGCTCCTGCTCTTACGCTCCTGCACAATGTGTGGGATAACCGTTACACGAACGTTGCGTATTCTATGTATCCGTTACAGATCGTTACAGTGCCTCAAACCCATAAC